TACATATACTGTATATATTTATACTTTTATTGCAGTAAAGTATTATTATATTGCAGTAAAGTGGTTTTAAACACAATAAAATCAAATCAAAAGGGACATACACATTCTTTTGATTGTATTGTATTTAAAACTACTGCAATATTAATACGTCGTCTTGATACAAATACTTTAGAGTACATCTGAACAGCAAGCTGAAGTGTAGTGTTAAACATTTTGTGGTTGAATAAATAGATTTTAGATTTTTCCCTCAGGAGATCAATAAAGTATCTATTCTAATGCATTTTATTCCATTCAGTGTTCCTATATGAGATTATTAAAAATTAGATTTTAACCAAAAGATGTCAGCAAGTTTTCATTTGTACATGTACAAATAAAAACTTGAAGTATAAACCTGTGAGTAGGTACACCTGATTTGACCATAAGTTGCAGTAATCCCTCTAAATTTACAGCATCAGTTGTGTATTTTTGTTGATGAAACCTAAAGATTATGTGTCCATCAGTGAGACTGTGAAGAACCAAGCGTACCTCAGACAGAGGGATGAGCAGAACGCAGCTGCCTTCCTCTCGACTGCAGAAGCACAGGTAACTGTCGGTGGTGTAGAGGGTCCCGGCCGTGTGACAGCGGGCGTGTGGCGTCCACACTGAACACGCAGCCACCTCGTGGAGCATCTCAGCACGAGGCAGCCGAAACAAAGCCAGGACGTAATCTCTCAGTGCCTGTTCCTCCAGGACCCTGAGGGGTGACAGAAGGAAAGGAAAACTCTCAGAGTTCATCAGGAAACCAAACACAACACCTTACGTCTTCATTTAGGAGTTTTACCTAATTTATTTCACCTTTAGACATCCTGATCAACACAAACACATCTTAGAATAAACACAGGAATCTTAATCCTTTATAACTCTATGAACTATATGTTAGTAATTTAAAATATTAAGGTTTTGATTTAAATATAAAAGAGATTATTGGTTAAGAGATTTATAAACAACTATAATGAGAACCAATTGATTTTGTGAAAATAACAAGTGTATTTTTAAACTTTATTACTTTCTATCCAGATGACAACAAAGATGCCCCTCAGCATGATGCAACCTCTTCATGCTTTAACAGAAGTGGAGCTTCTTCTCTCATAAACAAACTGATGCTTTGTGATCCTAAACAGCCAATATGACTATTTTCTGACACAGCAGGATAATCTCTTTATTTTTAAAGACCAATATTATGTGTTTCTCAGGCATACATTTAAATACTTTACCATAATAAAGTATCTATGTCACCTTTAGCTGTTATTAAAATGCTGTTTTTATGATTAAATAGAAAATAAACTTATCTTCTCATCACTTCCTCTTCTAAACGCCTTGAAATTGGTCTCTGTCTCTTTAAGAACCTCCTTCTGCTTCTGTCCCGTCCCGTTCAGAGTGTGAGTGTGTGTGTGTGTGTGT